GTTCTGCTAGCTTTGAACGCAGCGGTTCTGTTAGCTCTGAACGCTGCGGTTCTGCTAGCTCTGAACGCAGCGGTTCTGTTAGCTCGGCCTGTTAGCTCTGAACGCTGCGGTTCTGCTAGCTCTGAACGCTGCGGTTCTGCTAGCTCTGAACGCTGCGATTCTGTTAGCTCTGAACGCTGCGGTTCTGCTAGCTCTGAACGCTGCGGTTCTGCTAGCTCTGAACGCTGCGGTTCTGCTAGCTCAGCCTGCCGCTCAGGGCGGACCAGAACCTCCCCCTCCTGCAGCACTACTCTGATCCTGTAGAACTGGAAGTTCATTGTCCAGAACAGAGCCGTGTTCTGGTTCTGGTCAGCTGACAGGAAGTGGAAGTTAGGAGCCTCTAGAACCTCCTCAGCTGTGGGAGGACTTCTTGGTCCGGTCCAACACTGCAGCCTCATTCCTCCCCATCTCAGCGGTCTAGATCATAAGGGTTCTGCGGCCCAGTTGGTTCTGTTCTTACGGCTCCAGTAGAACCTGGGGATCTTGGTCCTCCTCAGCTTCCAGCCTGACGTCCTTCCAGCTGCAGGGACTCCATCTGTCTCTGTGAACAGAAGAAGAAGAAGACATTTCCAAGATGGTGGCACTACATCCTGACGCTGCCCAGCAGCAGCAGCAGGACTCTGACCTTTGGTAGAATCAGTGTTTAGTTCCTCATGTATCCATGTTCACAGCTGTCCTGTGATTGGCTAAGATTTACTCTGTAATGAAAAATGTGAAGTAAAATATGACGTATATCTGAACTGCTGCCTCCTGTCCTCCATCACCCAGTAAAACCAGTGTGAAAAACAGGGGCGGGTTCTACCGCTGCACCAAAACAGAACTCTGTAGAACATTAAGCGATTCTAAAGCATTGGCTCAGTTAGCATCTGACCAGTTCAGCATCCAGAGCCCGGCCCGGTCCATGGAACAGCCCCGTGTTCTGGCCAAGTTCTAAACCAGCAGAGAGGATTCAGAAACATGAGAACCTACCTCAGTCTGGGTCCACTGATGACGGAACACGAAGCAAACCTAGAGCCCAGTTTGCTTCTGAGAGCGGGTCCATGGAACCATAGGTTCTACCAAACCAGATGGCACCAGGTCCAAGAACCATCCACACAAACAAAACCACGGCCCGTCTGTGGAGCCCCGACCCCTCAGAACCAAGCAGTGGTGGTTCCTGAAGGAGGTTCTGGTTGAGAGGATCTGGACCAAAGCCGCGTTCCTACTGAAACGGAACCGGAAAGAGTCAATAAATCTGGAGCTGAAGGTCCAAAAGTTAATAAAGCAAAATAAAATGGAATATATTTACATTAAAAACAATGAAAATACATGGATCTATGTTTTCAGAATCTCTCGTGTTTCCCTGCTTGTCCTCATAGGGGCCCTTTAGGAATGGCTGGGGGCCCCTTAATGCCTTTTTACTGGAACACAGCAGGGACAAATGGACCTTCTGGACTTCCTGTTTGTCCAAAGACATTTGGACATCGGAAGGAAGCAGACTTTTATTGTGAAACTCTGATCTTTATCAGAAGGGCTTTTATTTTTAAAACTGCTTCACAGATCAGATCAGTACAGAAGAACTACCTGGAGATGACATCATCGCGCGGCGCCGAGGACTGATCGGATTGGAAGACTCCTCGTCATGCAGCCGATGAATGCGTTCTTTTTGTCCGTTTTGAAGGACTGGTCCGCTGTATCCTCCGTAGCCTTGCGTATCCCAGGATCCATTGGGAGTCCAAACAAGCCGGTCTTATGCTGACAAACGCATGTCTGCCGAGAATCGCATCTCCTGTCGCGGGAGCAGGCGTTGCCCTAAACTTTCACGTTGATGAGAAAATGGTTTGAAATCTGAACGAAAAGGAAACTTTTAAGCATATTCTGGATCTTTTCTTATTTCTTATGCATGGATGCCCTAAAATGTAGAGTTTTGCTGAATAGATAAACTTGAAGGGAAACTAGCACATCGACTAAAACGTGTCTCCAAGTAAAACCAGTCAGTGTGTGATCAATATTCTCTGCTCTGTGGAGGCATTTCCCGCTTTTTCTATCAACACCATTCTGGATAATTTCTGATGCTTTATTTCTTCTGGAACCTGCCGGAAAATCCTCCCCTGCCTATTTTCT